TTCTTTCGCGATTGTGCGTTGCATCCCCCCGCCGTTGGGGTCAGTATTTGACCGGGGCGTTGTCCATACCGCTTGTTTTGGATTATGGTGCGCGGTGAGATGAGTGTGCGGTCTCCGTTGAGCTGGGTTTGTGGTGCCCAGGTCACGAGTACGACTCCGTAGAATCTACCGCCTAAACCGTGTGTGTGGTGTGTTGGGTTAATTATTTTTGTGGAGATCGAAAAAATGATCTCCGATCCGATCAAACGGCTCGATCGGGCCAGGCGGTCGTGTGTGCCTGTTGTGTATAGCGAGATCTGCAGAGTGCAGTAATATTGGCGCCCTTGTTGTAACCGTCTAGTAGTTTCTAGGTGAATGGATGCTGTAATCTGCTCGCGTGTGGTACTGCATGCTGAGCGCTGTGCTGTTCGGATCAAGAGTCGAAGAGAAGGTTGTAGATGGATCCAGAGCTGGTAACTAACTGCTACTTGTGAGGGGTTGCAGTCGTCAGTAGTGCTGATACTGATACTGATACATGGAGGAATATTCCGTTGTTGGTAGTGTCCTTATGGAGGGTGAATATGGTTGATGAGCTGACCTATTGTCTGTGGCTCTGCGTGAAGGAAACTAACTGCAAGTGAAAATAATTGTTGCGGATTCTATTCAGACTTAATTTTCCGTCTATGGAAAAGGTATCTTCTTTTGTTTTTTAGGGAGGTTGAAATTTCAGTCGACATAGTGACGCAATTGAATAGTTGTGATTAGGTGGTATGATTGCGTAAGATGGAGGACGGCAATTGGACCCATTAGGAAAAATAGACAAAAAAGGGGGCAAAGGGGGAAGGGAAAGTGTTTGATGGAGTGCTGTATTCTCGTAATGTAAGAAATTTGTATGTACATGTAATTACAGTGCGTATCGGTTACAGTGTGGTCGTATACAAGAATATACTGCCTACAAGAATGAACACTCATTTTTTAATAATCATAACACATATTTTATGTGTATATTTATTCTTACAAGCAGTATTATCGCATAGTAGAATATATCGGCCCTAAGAATGGATTTTATGCAGCAAAATATGCCAGATTAGTGCAAAGTGTAGTAATAACATCTATGCTCTGTGCATACTCAATACAATAATATTCAACCCAAAAAGAGAGTTATGTCCAAGGCAAGGGAGCATTGGAGAATCACTTTTTCTGTCCAGTCGGGCTCTTTCTTCCGACTTCTCTCGTATCTGCTGCTCCGCAGTCTAGTGGAGTCGCCTAGCACGACCGGTCGACCGCGAGTCTGATCCGTGTGTATCATGTGTACGTGTCCACATGCCAAACGTGCACGCAATGCGTGCATGCGCATATGATTATGTCACACGTGCATATGATATGTCACACGTGCATTATGATAATGTCACACGTGATTTATCATGTGTAAGAAATATCGGCAATAAGAATCAAATGTCATTTTTCAAACACCCACGCTATAACCGATACCTACTGTATGTGGAAAATTATGGACGGGTAATTGCCATTGATTCGTGTTATTATTAAGACGGACGACCTAGACTTACGGCAATGTTACCTAATCATGTAATTATATGTAAGTGTGTGTAACGTGTACTAGAACCAGTGAAAATTATAGATATGTAATTATATTACACGTATGTGGGTTATACATGTATGTAGTTGTAGTTCTGTGCGCAGATTGAGTATTTCGCTCCTGCTCTTGTAGCAGTTGAGCCCTCTTGCGTGAGGTAGTGCCTTTGCTGTTTGCGTTATGCAGAGCTCACTGACTTGTCAGTTTGAGCACTCTGGCAAGGTACGTTCGGGCCTGATTGGAAAATTTTATTTCCATTGCTATCAGGTTCGGCCTTATTTCCTCTGTGCTGTGCTGACGAGTCCACAAAGGACGAAACAGTTCTGTCCGCAGATTGAGTGTATGTAGTTGTATGTGAAAAGGCGACGAGGAGACAATAACTTTATTAATGCGATTAATAGTATAAGTGAAGCGGACATTACAAAATGATGAATGAGAATACATGTATCTAAAATGGTTGTTCCTAATCGATTTTCTTGAGACTATCATCAGGGAAAAATCGTCTCACAATAGAGGCTATACGGAAAACAAACTACTTATAGGTTATAGGATAGTGGGGAGTATACAAGGTGAGGTGTGAAGAAAAAAAAAAAAACTAAAGTGGGAGAGAATACGAAAGAAATTAGAAGAAAAGATGTGAGAGTGTTCAGACGGTGTGAGCTACTACAAAAGGTGAGTGAAATGAAGGCGTGGAAGCAGGTGACTGTGATAGAGTGAGGAAGTGTGAGGTGTAGGTGTATGCGAATGAATATGTGTGTGAATGCTAGGTGAAGAGTCTCAATTTTGTGACATTTTCTTTCTGAATGCATAGATTAGGATTGTGTTTACGGATGAAAACAGCTTCTAATACCTTAAGTTCACGAAACCTACGAGCACGGCACAAAACAGTGAAGCATGAATCGTCATACACTGAGCGGCATTGGCTACTAGACAAGAGGTGTTTTTTAATTGCTGACCCTTTCGTTGTGCTCTCACCTTCAGTCCGGTCATCTTCATCTTGGTTGTCCAACTCACTCTCTTCATCACTGCTCACACCTTCTTCATCCTCTTCCTCTTCCATCCCGTCCTCTGCACCCGACGACAATCCCACGCTACTGCTCACTGCCAGTCCATGTCCGGTTGTAGATGCCATTACCAGCGCACGAGTCATGCTCCTTGTTACTGGTCTCCGTACCTGTGCTTGTCCATTTCCTACAGTCTCACGTAACTGTGCACTTGCAGTGGGTTCACCCGCTGCTGTAATAGTGTGGTTCTGTTGTGCAACTGGCACCTGTTTGCGGGGACGGCCTCGCCCAGGTCGCTGGTCTTTGGCTGCATCTGACAAAAGGTACAATGGTACATGTTGTTTGACGCGTGCGTTCAGGTGCTGAAGGGTTCTTCCTACATATCGGCTATCACAATGCCGACATTCAAAATGATAGATTACATGGCTAATTAGTTGGGTAGGAAGAACATCCTTCATTCGCATACATATTCATTCGCATACACCTACACCTCACACTTCCTCACTCTATCACAGTCACCTGCTTCCACGCCTTCATTTCACTCACCTTTTGTAGTAGCTCACACCGTCTGAACACTCTCACATCTTTTCTTCTAATTTCTTTCGTATTCTCTCCCACTTTAGTTTTTTTTTTCTTCACACCTCACCTTGTATACTCCCCACTATCCTATAACCTATAAGTAGTTTGTTTTCCGTATAGCCTCTATTGTGAGACGATTTTTCCCTGATGATAGTCTCAAGAAAATCGATTAGGAACAACCATTTTAGATACATGTATTCTCATTCATCATTTTGTAATGTCCGCTTCACTTATACTATTAATCGCATTAATAAAGTAGTTGTATGTATTTATATGAAAATTATGTGTGAATTATAATTATATTTTCGTGACATATGGGGAATAGGGTTTTTTGTAGGTTGGTGAGTGTATCATTGCGAGTGTGTGTTGGTCAGGGGCATGCCAGGAAAAGAGTGTTCTCCCTTAGTGTCACAGCCATTCGTATGTGTACGTTACTCCAGCATCAAGGTTCATACCTGGCTGTCTTCCTTTGATGCGTCCTCGCCTTGTAACATGCTGTCAAAATCGAAAAACATGTTAAACTACCAAGCAAGGCTTCTGTATATACAATACTGGTATTGTACTACTCCCTGGTTTGGAGCACCGTGTGTCCTCGACTATACAAAGTCATGCATTAGACTATCAAGCAAGGCTTCTTATAGTACAATCCTGTAGTACGTGCCCTGGAGCTGGTCGCAAAAAAAGAATGGAATAATGGAAAAAATGGAAAAATGAAAAATAGGGATTCACTGGCCAGAAAAGTCACTTCAATCAGCTGTGTGGTGGATACCAGACTAAAATTAGTGGCGGTCAATTCATCAGTCTTGCAAGCTGTTGAATGGTGTAATCCCAGGACAAGTTGCTCTGTCTAACATAGCTGTTTGCTATCACTGCTTTCGCGATGGGCATGTCTGAGTCTGGTCGCTGGAGCTGGGCCTGCGGGCTGGCGACTCCGAGGTCTGCTGCCCTCTGCGCCTGTTTATTAAAAAGAAGTGATCGCGACGCCATTCCGGTTTGTTATATTTTGAAACGTTTGAGTGTACTGTAGTACTGTACCAAATCAGCGGACAGCTTGCTGCTTTGTTCTGTGCGAACTCATTGCTGTACACGTAACAGTGTTCCAAATTCTATCTATTTTGCGCCCAATACACTGTTTATCACAAAACGTGAGTGACTAAGGATTATTATGCATGTGTTGCTGTATCAATCTGGAATTTACGCCACAAGATTCCCAATCATGTTACTTCACTATAGACCATACATTCATAGCGTAACTTGTAGTTCCTTGGTCCTTTTTCTTTTCTATCAACACTGTACGTGGGTGGTGTCTGAATACATGTTCCCATCCACAACAACATATCCAATAATCATCTAGCAGCCAGTGTTACATGTACTACACCTCTCAGAATGCATGTTCATGGTGCAAAGGAGCAAGCGGAGTTGTGCATTGAGTGGAGCAGCCATTAGTACAAGGACAGATAGGGTGATTTGACGGCACAGCAATGCTATGTGCTTGTAACGGATGAGCTACATGATTATTCGTGATTGAAACTATCCAATTCTGATCCAAAAAATCAACAAACATGCAGGCAAAGCATGAGTAGGCTCCGGCAGCGCTCAGGCGTAAACACGTGTGCCCAAAGCTGCTGCTGGCACTCCGCTCTATCTAGAAATAAGCAGAAGCGGTTGGCGTAGCCTAGAGACCGCTTGGAGAGTGTTGGGAGGATGTGTGGTTATAAAGGATGGTTATAGCGGAGGCTGCGCATACAGAGAAAAGCAAAAAGCACGTTAAGGTAATGGCATAGCCATAGTTGTTGGTGCGCATCTTGCTGTATCCAGAGCAACAACAAAAATGCCGCTGTACATTAGACAGCAGAATGGCTGAAAGATGAAGGAATGTTTCAGCTGCAGTTTTGTTACTTCATGTACAATAGTTCCACGTCAAGCGCGGACAATCCGACCAGCAAGGCTGCAGGGTTTCTGTTGAGCAAGGCTCCTGTAGAAGTGCAGAAACGAACAAAAGCAGAGAACAACACTTTATCTCAGTGTACGTACCATTGGAACGTAGTATGCACAATTTAGCGTTTGCCTGATAGATCAGCACCCACCCCATTACAGCCTCTCTCTCAACTCTTTCTCTGATCTTGTCCAATAGAATTACAGGGTGCGACAGAGCTCTCGGCCATTGAAGAAAATGTTGAGTCACCTCCACCATTAAACTGCGCTCTTTAGCCGATTAGACCCTCCTGCACACAACCATCAGCATTGCGAGGACACTTCCGTAGACGATATTGATAAACTCCTTCAGACAGCTGTTTCACTAATACATAGCTCATCAGTGAAGGTAGATGTTGAATGATTAAAAATATAGACCAAACTGCTATTATATAGGGGTTTCCACATACAAAACTGGCATAGCTGAGGTGATAACGCGGGAAAAAGAAAGGTGTTAAGTACTGTTGACGCGCATGGGAAATGCATGCAGCGTTGGAAATTCGGCGCGGAAAATCAATCACTATTCAATGCAGAAATAACGTGCCAGAATCAGAGTTTGTTTGATTTTTGTTTGAAGTTTTATTTTACATCGCAAACCAAACGGGCATTGATGCCCAATATTATGATGGCGATAGAATAAAAGGTGTGGCTCGATAAAGCTTCACTTGCGAAAATGAGAAAACAGTCAAAAGGAAGTATTTGTACCGGTAATTACAAGTCAAGTTCGAACGAAGTAACAATCAGGGAGAAATAGGAAGATGAGGACCTATGCCAGAGGGGGGGGGGGGGTGCTATTCGGCCATATTAACCGTAGAAAAACACTTTTAGCAATATTTTAAACGGAGTTGGACGACGAGCGGACGTGAGTTCCTGTGGCAGGGTGTTCCAAAGCTTCACGGCGGAAACCAATGGTCGGCTGTCGCCAGATGTTCGCCGAGTTAGCGGAACAACGTATTTGCAATTGTCATTGCCACGGGTGTAACTGGGAGGTTGGAGGGCTACTCTATCTTTCAGAAGAGGGCTGATGCTGCTGGTGTGGACACGGTGCATAAGGAAACGGAGATTGCATTTGGCACGTTCAATTACAGGGGTCAGGGAAAGGCGAGTACTAGTGAGAGTCTGTGTACTAGTATTGCGGTTGTCCGAGCGCCATGAAGGCCTGCGAAAGCACCTCACGACCCGCCGACGTCGACAGCCACAGCAGCCCCTGGGGCATGACACTGTACTGCTCGCCCGTCGCGCCAAGATGCTTGGCAGTCGGACAACTGCAATACTAGTACACAGACTCTCACTAGCTACATAGTACTCTGATTCTGGCACGTTATTTCTGCATTGAATAGTGATTGATTTTCCACGCCGAATTTCCGACGCTGCATGCATGTCCCATGCGCGTCAACAGTACTTCACACTTTTCTTTTTCCCGCGTTATCACCTCAGCTATGCCTGTTTTGTATGTGGAAACCCCCTATATAATAGCAGTTTGGTCTATATTTTTAATCATACAACATCTACCTTCACTGATGAGCCATGTATTAGCGAAACAGCTGTCTGAAGGAGTTTATCAATATTGTCTACAGAAGTGTCCTCGCAATGCTGATGGTTGTGTGCAGGAGGGTCTAGTCGGCTAAAGAGCGCAGTTTAATGGTGGAGGTCACTCAACGTGTCCAACAGAATACGGATGTATTAAACATGTAATTCGCTCCCTGAGCTCTTCTTTGTAAATCACACGTTCAGATGTGCATCATAGCAGTCTGCATCTGATACATATCCCTCAATGTTTGATTACCGCTTACTACGTGAAGCTCGGGGTAAAAACACTTCTTTCATCCTCCTTTTATTGTTTGAACTAGCTCTGCCTTTTGGTATAGATCACTTTATTCCCGTAGCTATGCAGAAGACATTACTTCAGTAACGTCTGGCGCTAGCCAGGGTCCACACAGCTTTAATTTGGTATTTGTGTGTTTGTTTGTGTATTTGTGTCACGCCTGGCGCTATCCCGTATCTGTCCCGTACCGTACCGTACCATCAAACACAGCTGGCCACATACAGTTGGCCGCAATATTCAAATAGGGCTTTCAAACGCAAGATCATAACGTGAAGCAACTTGGAAGAATGGGTATGAATGTGAAGTGTATGGGGGAATGCATGTAGGGCGTTAGTGCGGGTTCGAATCCCAGGATATAGGAGAATTGAAAAATTTATAACATCCCTATGCTTTTTTTGCCGTCATCAAGGCGGTAGACGGTGTCGTATTACCCTCGATCGTACCTGCCCCGTACCTATCCCGTACCGTACTATACCATCAAAGACGGCTGGCCACAATGCATATTCAAATAGGGCTTTCAAATGCAAGATCATAACGTGAAGCAACTTGGAAGAATTAGTATGTATGCGAAGTGTATCGGGGGATGTATGCAGGGCGCGCGATAGTGTGGGTTCGAATCCCAGGTTATGTCTTAAAAAAAAAAGAATTTTTTAAGAATTTATAACATCCCTATGCTTTTTTTTGTCTAGGTCATCAAGGCAAAAAAGCATAGCGTACGGCCCTGAGCTTCCAAGCTCTCTCGTTGGACAGCCTGGAACCTCTCTGTTTTACAAAACACTCATTGCATTTTTGTAACTACACTGCTGAAACTGGGCAGTTGTAACTGCACCAATGAGCACTCGACTCAATAATCGAAGCTGAAAGGAGGAAACAAATGAAACATGGTATATCCATTCCTCACTCCCAGATTTAAACTTACGTTTGTTATGTGTATAACTTTTGTGTCAATATTCCAATTTTCGCTGTTTACTTTAGCTATCTTCTTCTTTGCGCTGTTTTACCACCTTCTTACTGTATTTAATCCACTGTTCCTGTTCCTTTTCCCTTGCCTGTATTTCACCTGACGAGAAGGCTTGAAAGTATACTTGTGAAGACAAAAACTTTCAAGATGTTTGTAAGGAGCCTGAAGTGTGTCCTTTTTATGAGTATTATCAGATTTATTTATTCAACATCTTATGGCTTCCTATGGCAGTCAAAACGGGAAGATGTGGGTGATAGCCAACCATGGTAAAAGAAGGAGAAGATTATAAACATGAAAAGGAAACAGCCGAAAAGCTATTATTGATTAGTTTTGATTATTGAAGTACACGATAAGATACTTTTCTCAAAACATTTGCCAAGTAAGTTTGTACACTGCAATGCTTGCCATTAATTTTTTTTCTTCTCCTCCCCTTCTCCCTTCCTTGCCGTGGTTGGCTAATACCCTCTCTCTTTGTATTGGCCGGTGTTCTCACTGTGCTATGAGATGCTGTAATAAAAAAATAAATTAATTAAACTTGAATTGTTTGCAGGCAACCTGCCTACACTCAAGAGAGCACTGCATTTCACACAAATCCATTGGTATCGTTACAACGTTTCGGTCTTTATGACCATCATCAGGAATGAAGTGGACATGGAAAGAACAGCAGTATAAAAGAAGGAGGCAAGCAAGCAAAGCGCGGTACATAGTGACAGCGCGCGTAGAGAAGTGCAAAGCGCGTCATGGCGGGTGTGCATTACTACATATACATGACAACACAAGCACAAACGGTGAGGAAAGTAGATACTGCGCTACAGCAGTGATAACAGCCCAGTTCCAGTCTCACACCACCAGTGAGGTGTCTAGAGCCCCGCGCCACTCGCAGTAAGGTGGTGTTATAGCAGATCCCAGCCACTGTTATTGTTAATTTCCGGGGATCGCTCCCTGATATTGATGGCCTCCCGGATCCTCCTCCTGGGGCGGTCACGCTCAGAACCGAGAACCCGGATACCTGAGAAAGCCGTTGCTCCCAATGGCAATGGGTCAGATGCATGCTTGGCCGCGAAATGCTCACCCAGCGCGGTGCCGCTCACTGTGTTGCGTGCGTCGTCGTTGTGTTCTTTTGTCCTGGTAGCGAGGCTGCGGTACGTCTCTCCGACATATTTATCACCACACCTGCACTCGAGGTGGTATACAACATTTCGCTCCGTGCATGCCCCTGAACCGGACATGCAGGCGACACAAGCAGCTTTGGGCCGCCCCCGTTTACGGGGCCTGGACGGGTCTACATACCTGCGGCATGGTGGTTTGCGGAGGGCAGACGTGCAAATCATAGAACTTAGTCGGCGGTTCCTGTAAATCAGCTGGGCATTTATCTTGTACTTCCGGAGTAATTTATGAATTTTGTTGTGGATATACTCGGTGTGAAACGGTAGGTTGAGGGTGACACGGTATTCATTCTGCACTCTCACACGTCGGGGGCGCATAGCTCGTTCACGTGCCGAAACTATAACTGACTCTGGGAAGTTGTTGAATTTTAGGATGTTGGTTACTTTTTCTTCACTTCTTTTTAGGGTGTCGGCATCGGAGGATAGGCGGACGGCACGCAGGAACTCAGAGGAAGCAATTGCTTTCTTTTGCTGGTTGGGAACTGACGAGTTGTAGTCTGATACCAGTCCGCTGTGACATGGCTTGCGGTATAGTTCATAGGATATAGATCCATCTGGTGAGACATGGACGGTCGTGTCCATGAAATTGATTGAGCCAGTCAACTCCGTGGATTGGTGAGTGAATTTAATATTAGGATCGGCATTATTGAAGTGATCTAGGAAACTCTGCAGAAGTTCCGGACCGAGGTTCCACACAATGAAAACATCATCGATGTAGCGCTTGTACAGAACTGGGCTGGCAGGTGCACTACGCAAGAGCGAACTCTCTAGGTCATGCATGTACAGGATGGCAAAGGGGGGCGCTAGGTTATTGCCCATAGCCACACCATCCTTCTGGTGGTACACCTGCGCTCCAAACCGGAAGTAGTTGGAGCTCAGCACATGTGCGAGGAGCTCCTTGACCTGCCCAATTCGGAAACCGAACAGATCGATGCTGCCCTCGTGTTGTCGGAGGACTCTCATGACTGCTGCAATGCCATCGTTAATCGGGATGCTAGGGTAAAGGGCCACCACATCCATAGTCACAATGATGGTGCCGGGCGGGGCCT